GGAGAGTACCTCGTGGCCTTCAACATGGGCGACGAAAAGGAAGGGGGTAAATGGAAAGAGAGCGCCAAGGACCCGGAGGTGTGGTACAACAAGGTCGAGGACGGGGGCGGCATGGTTCATGACGAAATGGCACAGGCAGGAGGCGGAAGCGTCCGCGAAGCGCCAGCGCGCGAGGGAAGCAGAAGCAGAAAGTACGGCCATCTCAGGACCGAAGAGAAAGAGTCGGGGAAGCGGCGGTGGGGGGGAAGAAGCGGCGACCGGGCACTGCTGTAGAAGCGAGTAGGGCGGCCGAGACAGCACTTGTGGCGAACTATTTTTTTTTTTGTGGCGAACTATGTACCTGGCTGATGTTGTTGCGCCCTGTTTCCCTCTTTGCTGTATGCTATACTCCTTTATGTATGTCCTTTCTATTGCCTTCGGCCTCTGTGCTGTGTTTCTTTTTTTCATGACCTCCCTGCCTACTCTGCTGTGTTGGGTACTTTGATCTCACTTTGCTGTTGCCTTTGTTTTTGTACGTCTGGCTGGTTGCCCACCTGCCGCCTCTTTGTCCTGTTTGCTGAGTTACTCCCATGCCCTGGTGCGTAGTGCCTGGTGCTGGTACGTTACCCTTTGATTTTTTCTTTGGACGGGCGTGGGAAGCGTCCTCCTTTATTTTTGTTTTTGTGTTATTTTGATCGGTCTCCGAGGGCTCTTTTCTCGAACGGTCGGTGCGATACCTGTTATTTTCTTTCTATCATTTTGTTTTCTTTTTCCGAGTGGTTTGTACCCTATTTTTGTTTTCTTACCCCGCGGCGTCGTATGTGCCGGGTTTTGAGACCACGGGCTGCCCATTTTTTGTGGACTATAGAGCTAATGTGAAAAACAACAACAACAACAACAACAACAACAATATTGATTTGAGGTGTGAGGGGCGCCAATCAATGTGATTACTCCGAAAAAAATATATATCTTGGAAAAAAAAGACACCTCCACACGGACTCGAATCCATGATTTCGAGAGTCAAGGTGGCCTTCACCGAGTTCACGAAGCGAATTGGCGTTTTTACAACGTCGTTGCCAAGCCACGAAAACCCAATCCCGATGGCAAACACCGCGGGGGGGGGGGGGGGGGGGNACCACGGGCTGCCCATTTTTTGTGGACTATAGAGCTAATGTGAAAAACAACAACAACAACAACAACAACAACAATATTGATTTGAGGTGTGAGGGGCGCCAATCAATGTGATTACTCCGAAAAAAATATATATCTTGGAAAAAAAAGACACCTCCACACGGACTCGAATCCATGATTTCGAGAGTCAAGGTGGCCTTCACCGAGTTCACGAAGCGAATTGGCGTTTTTACAACGTCGTTGCCAAGCCACGAAAACCCAATCCCGATGGCAAACACCG